GCGAGAATGAGTCACCTGGAAAAATCCCGCATCTGATCCTGATCGGGTTACATGTTAATGTACCGTTTGAGTGGTTAAGCACTATTTTAGTTCTCCATATTTTCATGCTTAGTTTCATGAAGTTGATGAAAATAGGTGCCAGTCTGTCGATTTCCATGGCTTTTATTATCCATGAGTGTGGCACACTATCAAAAGCCTTTTTATAATCTATCCACGATGTACTTAGATTTTTCTTTCCTTTACAATCTTCTAAGATCATTTTGTTTATCAGTAGTTGGTCCTTACAGCCGTAGCTTCCTCTTTTGCACTTTTTTTTTTTTTTTTTTTTTTTTTTTGCGGTAAGAGCTTATTTTCATCTAGGAAAATGTACGTCCTTTCTATCATTATTGATGTTAATATTTTGTACATTGTAGGCAGACATGTTATCGGTCTATAATTCTCCGGATTCGTTCTCATTTGTCTTAGGTATTAGGAAGGTGATTCCTTAGGCTAACCATTCAGGGCATTTTGCTGGATTTTTTTTATCAGTTCATTATATAATTTTGCCATGTCTCCATGTAGCGTTTCGAAATTTTTCATCCAAAAGTTAGGTAATTTGTCAATTGGTGACTTCAAGTTGTTGGCATTCTTTACGGCAGCTATTACTTCATTCTCATTTATATAATTCCACGTTTGGACGATGGTTTTTCGTTATTTCTTCCTGTTCTTTTATCCAATGAGCCGTTTCGTTGTGGTGTTTCTCATTTTCCCATATCTTTTTCCAGAATTCTTCAATTTTGTCTCGGGGTGGTGGTTCCTCCACATTATTATTATTATTATTTTTTTTTTTTTACCGAGTTCCCTGTAAAGTTTCTTCGTATCTGTTTTGAAGACTTGTTTTTTCTTAAATTGTTTGCTTCATTTAAAAAATCTAATCCGTTGAGCCTTAGCTTGGTTCTGTTGTTTTAGTTGTTCTCTAATAACTGCAATCTCTTCAGGCTTCTTGATCTTATATCTTCTTGAGATATTCCTCTTTTTCCGTTCGTTCACATTTACACCATTAGCTATTTCTATAAGTATAGACAGATCGCTTCGTTTTTGTGCTATTTCCTTCTCTATCTTTTTTTTCCAGGCTGGCTGCTTTCTATTTCCTTTGTTCTTCTCCTTCAATTTTATATCCTCCATTTCTGTTATCACTGCTGCTGCTGAGTACATTAGTTGGTTGAATATATTGATGTCCATATCGTCTATCAAACTCTCTTTTATTTCGAACATAGAATTGTTTGCTGATTTGATCAACGTTTTAGCTTTTCGGTCTTTCTGTATCTTTGGGAGGCGGCACCTATTTTCAATTTCAAGATGACTGACCTCTTCCCATTTGCGTAGAATGTCTTCTTTCATTGTAAGATGTTCATTCTGATCTTCAGTACTCTCGGTTTCCTCTGCTTCATTTGGTGTTTCTCGTACTTAATCATTTGACGTCGCGGTGGGATTCACCTTCCTTATTATCATCAGCTGTTGCTTGCTCTCTTACTTCCAGTGACATGTTTTTTTTTAACTTCTTCTATTATATTATCAAGTTCAGCTGCCGTCAATCTGTTATTTTTCACACTATCTCTTCGAACTTTACTTAATTTGATGTCATCAATGTTTTCCTTTCTCCAGCTGGCGTAGGTTTGTTTTGTATTAGAACCTCCACAGGCATCAAGTACTGCTTTGTAATAAGTTGTCATGGCGTTTATACTCATCCCTATTCCATTTTTTTCTTGTTCCTTTTTTGGCTTTTGATTGCATATTCAGGGGACCTTGTTGAAGGGATGCCTCGTTTTGGTGACCCTCTGAACCTTGGTGGTGGGCGGAGTTTGTTCCAGTAGTAGACTTTTCGATCTCAGCCTGCTGGGGCCGGATTCTCAAAAGAGCCTTAAGTTAAGGCGCGCTGGAGGCCTTAACCATCTTAATATTTATTATTTTTAGTTTATTATTATTATTATTATTATTATTATTATTATTATATTATTATTATTATTATTATCATCATTATCATTATGATTTTCATTATCATATTATCATTATCATCATTATTGATATTATCGTTATTATCATTATAAGCATTATCCTTGTTTCTATCATTCTCATTATTATCATTATTATTATCATTGTTGTTGTTGTTATTGTCATTACCATCATTAATAATGATATTATTATTATCATTGTTGTTGTTGTTATTGTCATTACCATCATTAATAATGATATTATTATATTGACTTTATTTTATTATCATAATAATTGACTATTATTATTTTCATTCTTACTATCATCATTGTCATCATAATTATTGTTATTACTATCATTATCCCTTTCCATTGTTATAGTTATCATTATCATCATTATCATTATCTTTATTATCGTTTTTATTGCTTTCACAATTATCCTCATTAGCATCACTGTTATTATTATTCTTATATTATTGTTGTCATTACCCTTATGATTATTATTACCATTATCATCGTTTTAATTTTAT